TATTTAAAGGACGTAACTTGGGTAAGGTTGGTTACGACACTTATGTGCGAGGTAGGGGCACATAGGATTACTAACCTGCATTAAAATATTATTTCTCGAAATTCCGATCCACCTAGTATCACCAGCAAAATTAGGTACGTAATATGGTGCTTAAATTTATTTTTTGCCATTTAATATTGGTTTAATCTATGACGATATTTTGATTAATAATACTGTATTTTATATACATAATATAATAAAGTAAATTTATATTAACATTTTTTTTTATTTTCACATTATTTTTAAAACAGAAAGAACACGCATATGTATCTCGAGATTACTGTAGATATTATTCAAATAGTAACGAAAAGAGCGGAGCAGACAAAACCAATTCTTTTAGAAAATGAATAATCATTTTTTTATTATTATTATCGTTTGTATTTTCTTTATCAAATTTTAATTCACAATATTCTCTTATTACAGAAACGAACTTTATAAGTCAATTTAACGGTGGATGATTGTAGATGATTTACAATGGGTATGCCGGATGGTTGTAGAATATAGAAGAAGGATATGTCGGATGGTGGACGATCGATATGTTGGGTGAGGGACGATGGATAGGTTGGATTATTGTGAACGATGGTTGTAGATGTTGGATATTTTGAATGGTCGTAGATGATGAATGGTGGGTTGTAAATGAAAGACGATGGGGTTGTAAACGAAAGATAATGGATATGTTGGGTGGTTGTAGATGATGGACGATAGATATGTCGAATGGTTGTAGATAGGACGAAAGATATGTTGAATGGGTTTGGACGATGGATATGTTGAATGGTTGTGAACAATGGATATTTTGGTGGTTGTAGATGGTGGATGTTTCGGATGGCTGTGGACGATGAATGATGGGGTTGTAAACGAGATGATGAATATGTTGGATGGTTGTGGACGACAGATATGTTGGTTTTGAACGATGGATATGCTGAATGGTTGTGAACGATGAACGATGGATATTTTTGGTGGATGTTTCGGATGGTTGTGAACGATGGATATGTTGGGTGGTTGTAGATGATGGACGATGAACGATGGATATGTTGGATGGATGGTTATAGATAATGGATACGATGGATATGTTGGATGGATGGTTGTAGATAATGGATACGATGGATATGTTGGACAATTACATTTTTTATATTTATTTATTTATTTATTTTTTTATAGTGCCATAATTAAAGCCCGCCGTTACGACATCGATATTAAGAAAGTATTTCGATGAAATTAAAGATTTTAAATGGTAATTTCATTTGCAATATAATTTTGTATTTTATTTATAAGTGGTCTTTTTTTTTTACGTCTACTATAGGTGGTGAAGTAGAAGAATTGTTTAGCCAAATGATGACTTTGATATAAAGGTTTAGAAGAAAACGAAATATAACGTTTTTTACAATTGGGAAGAATTATAATATAAAGAATAAAGGTGAATTATGTTTAAGCTCTTTATCATTTGTTAAAGTTATTTAAAGGACGTAACTTGGGTAAGGTTGGTTACGACACTTATGTGCGAGGTAGGGGCACATAAGATCACTAATCCAATATTAAAACTTCATTTTTCGAAATTCCGACCCACATAGTATCGCCACCAAAATCAGGTACGCAATATCGATATACTGCGGATACGTTGGATAATTGCATTTTTTATATTTATTTATTTTTTAATTTTAATTTTAATTTTTAATGTGCCGTAATTAAAGTCTCACCATTTCGAATAACGATGTTAAGAAAGGAGTTCGATAGAATTAAAATTTTTAAATGGTAATTTTATAGATAATAATTTTGTATTTTGTTTATAAGCAAAATAGATAACTTAGATAACTTTTATTTTTACGTTTTCTATAGGTGATGACTTTAAAAGAAATTGGTCTTAAGAATTGTTGGTTGAAGATGGCGACTTTAATGTAAAGACCTGAATGAAAACAAGATATAACATTTATTACGGTCAAGAAGAATCATTGGAAATTATAATATAAAGAATAAAGGTGAGTTATGTTTAAGCTTTTTTATAGTCTTTTAAAGTTATTTAAAGGACGTAACTTGGGTAAGGTTGGTTACGACACTTATGTGCGAGGTAGGGGCACATAGGATTACTAACCCGATATTAAAATTCTATTTTTCGAAATTTTGACCCATCTAGTATTGGCACCAAAATCAGGTACGTAATATGGTGTTTAAATTTATTTTTTGCATTAAACATATTTTAATACATATAATAATAAATTGACATTTTTTTAGCTTTATGATATTTTTAACCCGGAAAAATTATGTATATGTATTTCGAGATTGTTGTAAATAATTAATGGCGGCTCAGACGAAACTAGTTCTCTTAGGAAAATGGGTGCATCGTTTTTTTTATAAGTTTATTATTGTTCGTATTTTTCTTTTAAAAAATTTTTAATTCGTAGTATGGTGACGAACTTTATAGAAAACGAACGTTGGGTCACAAGTCAATTTGATGATAAATATGTTGGATGGTTGTAGACGAGGGACGATGAATATGTTTGATAGTTGTGAACAATGGACGATGGACAATGAATATGTTGGGTGGTTGTATACGAGGGACGATGGATATGTTAGATGGTTGTGAACGAGGGATGGATATGTTGGATGGTTTTGGACAATGGATATTGTTAGGTGGTTGTAAATGATGGATATTTCGGATGGTTGTGGACGATGAATGATGGATATGATGGGTGGTTGTAGATGATGGATATTTCGAATGTTTGTAGATGAACAATGGGGTTGTAAACGAGGGACGACGGGTATGCTGGATGGTTATAGATGATAGACGAAGGATATGTTGGATGGTTGTGGACGATGGATATTTTGGATGGTAGATGATGAACGATGGTTATAGGCGATGGACGATAGATATGTTGGATAGTTGTGGGCAATGGATGATGGACAATTAATATGTTGGGTGGTTGTATACGAGGGACGATGGATATGTTAGATGGTTGTGGACGAGGGATATGTTGGATGGATAGTTGTAGATGATGGATATGTCGGATAGATGAACGATTGCATTTTTTTATATTTATTTAAAATTTTTTTTTTTTTTAGTGCCGTAATTAAAACCAACCGTTACGAATATCGATATCAAGAAAGTATTTAGATGGAATTAAAGATTTTAAATGGTAAATTCATCTGCAATGTAATTTTGTATTTTATTTATAAGTGGAATAAATAACTTAGATGTTATTTTTTTTACGTCTACTATAAGTGGTAATTGTCGAAGAAATTGAAGAATTGTTTAGCCAAATGGTGACCTTTATGTAAAGACTTAAATAATAACATTTATTACGGCCGAGAAAATTATTAAAAATTATAATATAAGAAATAAAAGTGAGTTATGTTTACGCTTTTTATAGTTTTTTAAAGTTATTTAAAGGACGTAACTTGGGTAAGGTTGGTTACGACACTTATGTGCGAGGTAAGGGCACATAAGATTACTAATTCGATATTAAAACTCCATTTCCAAAATTCCGACCCACATAGTATCGCCACCAAAATCAGGTACGCAATTTTGTTATAAACAATAGATTACGAATATGTTGGATAGTTGCATTTTTTATATTGATTTTTTATTTTATTTTTTTTTTTATTTTTTATAGTGTCAAAATTAAAGCCTTGTCATTTCGAATAACGATGTTAAGAAAGTAGTACGATGAAATTAAAAATTTTAACCTGTAATTTCATAGACAGCATAATTTTGTATTTTGTTTATAAGCAAAATAGATAACTTAGATAACTTTTATTTTTACGTTTTCTATAGGTGGTGACTTCAAAAGAATTGGTCTTAAGAATTGTTGATCAAAGATGGCGACTTTAATGTAAAGACCTGAATGAAAACAAGATATAACATTTATTATGGTCAAGAACAATCATTGAGAATTATGATATAAAGAATAAAGGTGAGTTATGTTTAAGCTTCTCTATAGTCTTTTAAAGTTAAGGACGTGACTTGGGTAAGGTTGGTTACGACACTTATGTGCGAGGTAGGGGCACATAAGATTACTAACCCGATGTTAAAACCCTTATTTTCTGAAATTCCAACCCACCTAGTATAACCACCAAAATTAGGTACGTAATACGGTTCTTAAATTTATTGAATATTAAATAGATTTAATCTTGACGATATTTTGATTAACAATATTATATTTTAATGCATATTCTAATAAAGTAATTTAAATAACATTTTTTTATTTTTACAATATATTTTTAAAACAGTAAGAACACGCATATGTATCTTAAGATTGTTGTGGATATTCAAATAATCAACGAATTAGAAACGAGCAGCGCAAACGAAACCAATTCTCTTAGGAAGATGAGTCATCGTTTTTCTTCAAGTTTATTATCGTTCATATTTTTCTTCGAAAATTTAGTTCGCAATACCCTCTTATTGCGGTGACGAAATTTATAGGAAACGAATGTCGAGTTACAAGCCAATTTAACGATCGACCTGATAAGTTAAGAAATCAAAAATGTATGAGAACGAGGAATCAGGTGCTAATGATAATGAATTTATCAAGAAACTTTGAAGAAATGCAAGAAAACTCTATAAGGTTTAAACTTTGTTTTTTATTTTAGTTACTATATTTAAATTGACGTTTGATTATCTTGAAAAGTCTAATAATCTTTCAAACCAAAAAAATAAAGATCTATTCAAAAAATAATAGATGACATTAAAGGTCTCAAACGAGCAAAAAAACTTTTTTTGTAGCATTAAATTTGAATTTTATAATATTAGATGTAAATACATTTTAATTATTCGAGTTTGAATATAACTCGACTAAAATTTGATGTAATAATAAGCTGTAAATAAATTTTTTGTAAAAAAAGTTTTTGGTATTCAATTATAGCGAATTATATTACGTATAGATTCTTCGACTTTAGCTCATACAATCTTTTTTAAAACTTTATAATTTTAGATCTTAATGCATAGTCTATATTTTATTTAACTAATCGACAATACTAATTTATTTGCCCTAATATTATTAGGTATCTTTCTCTTGTTTACAAAATTTAAACTTAAGTATTATACACAAAATTATAATTGGATTCCATTTTTACGAAAATAATTTTATTGATATGGAATCTTTGCTAGGAAAATCACCCTTCGACATTTCCCGATCGGGCTAATCTATAGCGATAGTGCTTTTCAAATTACAGTCAGACCTCGTTATAGTCACAACCTTGATATAGTCACCCTGTTTTTTGTTCCTAGCTTATAAATATTGACCTTCATATAGTCACAACTTTTTATAATCACCAATTTTTTGTTTTCCGGCCTGGTGATTATATCAAGGTCTGACTGCTATGATTGGCTAGAAATTATCAGCTCCGATTTTAACATAAAAATTAATTTATTTATGCAAACTTCAAACGAAGATTTCTTAATAACTGTAGTAAACTTTCGAATTCTACTAGTACGTAGAATTTGAAAATATCTTTGAACAATAAAAATAAGAGAATTGCTATTTATTACCGGTGGTTAGAAGTTGGAACCGGTTTTAATACTTCGGGTTTATCACGTGAGTTTTGTGATATTTTAGAAATTTATCCAATTAAATTTTAATAAATTCGAACATATCACAAAATTCATGTGATAAACCCGAATTATTAAAACCGGTTCCAACCTCTACTGGTGGTGATCATCACCGGTGTATTAGTTAGGGTTGTATTTCGTTACACGAGCCTGCAAATTTATTGGCTACTACACAAAGGTGATGAGTACAGGTGGTAATAAACTAGCTCAAAGTTCATAGAATCTAGACGAAGAAACCTGAAAATTTTTATTGTTTCTTAGTCGATAAAAGTAAAATTTGACTGGAAATTATTGGAATTATTATTTTCTAAATGGAAATTTGTGGAAAAGACAAACTAAAGCACGTAAACCATTTTTTATTCAACAAACTATCGAACCTATAAGACAAAAGAATATTTACATGTAAATAAGAACCGGTATGTTAGCCCGATCGGAAAATGTCGATGGATAGTTTTCCTAGAAAAGGTCCCATATAGCCGATAAAATCTAATCATGCGAATACAAAATATTGTATAAACTATATTACAACTTATATTCTCCTATTTACATTATTTAATCTTCTAGATATTATTGATTTGGAGAAATTTGTCCGCAGGTAAGGTTGTATAAATTACTTTATTTGTTCCCAAACAAGGATATTTAGTTTCAGCTAAAAAAAAATAAGCTTACTTGTCTGTCACTACGTAGGTTTATAACAACCCGTTGTATCCAAGGCATGAGTAAATAAAACACTCAAGAAAACTCAACTCAATCTAGAGTTAGGCACTAACGGAGGTGATAAAATAAATATATATCGACGTTAGTTATACGCAGTAACAGAAATTACTATTCTGGATGCTTTTGTAATTGATGTAAAAATAAGTCGGTTTAGCCTTGGGAGCTTGATATAACTCAGATAAAAATTAACCTACCCCGCAAAACTTTCCACGTCTCTGTGGGTCAGTAATATTTTCTGCTACCAACTATATACAGTATAACGGAGTAACACATCACAATAATTAAACCGGAATATGGATCATGCTTCGAAATTTAATTCACAATGGTGAGTACGGCTTGACCTTCTATCACGTGGCTATACACCTTATAAAGATGTATGGTGCCGGAAGCTTATACTCGACAACAATGCGAAGTTATAGCAGTTCTAAAACTAACCAAATTTCGGATACGTATAACTCTTTATAGAAGAATTGTTTTAAAAAACTGACCGTTAATTTTGTAGAGCTCTGTCATATGTATAAAGTTATCGGTCGGATTTTTTAAAAACGTTTGTTTTAGCATTTTAAATATTATATTTTGGCGCAACAAAATTGTCTCGGCAGATGCTCGATTTTGATTGGCTAAGAACGACAATAAAAAAGTTAAAAAGTTAATTCCGGCCATAAATTAGTAGACTATTATGTAATGCGGGTCAAAATTTTGTAGATCCACGGTCGCTAGCCAATCAAATTCGAGGATCTGCCGGGATGCGACATACTTCAATTTTATTGGCGATCACGAGAAAATTGAAACATCCCCGTAATTGTCGGCAAGAACATTATTTGCAGGTGTTTCTTGGCGTCACGATTTCGCTGCTTTACCACTTTAACATTTCGCCATTTCACTAATTTCAGTTTACCACTCCATACCAATTTCAATTACACCAATGACATCATTACCACTCCATCAACATTTAAATTTATTATTTTAGAGTAATAATCCAATAGTTGTAGCATGTGAAATTCACCTAAATATGGTTCTAAAAATATAATCTACGGAGTTCATACCATTTATTCATTGCTAGTTAACTTTAATATTCGGATTTGCCACGTTTGTTCGCGTTTACTATGATTGTACGTAGCGCCAAATAATTTATAACTTTATATCGATATCAATTAAAATAGCATCTACTGTATTTAATCAGGATATGTGATGGTGAAACAAAATTGATAGATTTTCTTTCAGGATTCGATAATTGAAAAATTAAATTAACATTAAATTATAAGCTTATGTGAATAATGCCACTTTTTTTTAAACAAAAAAAAGTGAGAAGAAAATATCTAGATCAATTCAAAATTTAAATTATTAATTGATAATGAAATTATCAAAGTTCATAAAAAGTAGATTAATAGTTTTTTTAGAAATAATTACCTTCTCAATTCTTTGTTCACCAAATTATCATCGACATAAAAACTTCTTTAACGAGCCATCATATCATCTGTCTCGTTTTTCACATTTTCCAAACCATAGGATGTCACTATACACGTATGATGACTGTGCCATTCTGTCACCAATTTCGACCGATCCTCCGTCCCAATTGTTTGGACACCATGAACACGTCATAAAGCCAATCCGTTTAGATCCTAGCACAGGGAGTCAAAAAAAACCAATACCAACTAATAAATTTTATGAAAATTTAATGCTAGATAATGGACAAGATCCTATCTGGTCATTGCCTTATGGATTGAGATGGGAACAAGGACAAAGGAATGGTTTCTGTGGATTCAGTGTTTCTCACATTGACGATGATAAGAAGGTTTGTATCTCAGAAATTGCTTATGCCAGAAAAATCATGATTACACTAATATCGCCGTTTAAATAATCTAATACATAAATAGGTTTTTGGCCCAGACCCAAATCAAAATCCTGTAAGATTTTACTATAGTTTATACGTTCCAACTATCGTATTCTCGGCCAAAGAACTTGGAAGTAACCATGAGCTTAAATTATCGGACATGTCAGAATTATCCCTAACCATCAACCTATTTCCTCATGGTTACACCGACTCCTATATCTCCTTCCCGATCTCCCGTGGAATGTCATTTATCACAGCAGAATATAAAGACTTAACTCCGTTATTCTATTCAGAATCGGAATTTATAAAAATTGAATCATCACGAAAAATTGCTAATGAATATACTAAATGGAAAGTTCTTTTAAAAGATGATAGTGTGTGGTTGTTGTATGCTAAAGGAAAGCTGACATTGAAAATAAAGTCATTGCACCAATTGGAAGCTACCTCAGGTCAATATTCAGGGATTATTCAAGTGACTAAAGTGCCCGCTGGAAATCGGGAAGCTGAAGTGGTGTTTGATAATCATGCTGGAACTTATCCAATTGGTGCAGAACTTCAAGCTAGCGCTGACGGGTGTGTAATTAAAACAACTATCCTTAACGATGAAAAATTAATAAATGAATAAAATTTAACACTTTTATAGCTCCTACGCCTTCAACTGGAAGGTTGGAGGTGACAAATCAAAATCTCTCTTAATATACTCACTCCCTCATCACCGTGAGTCTTTCGCAAATGCGCTACTTCAAACTACAATCGAACTTTCCACTCCCACAAAAGGCAAAGCTATAGCATACATTGGCAATACATGGTTATTTATTGAACCAAATTTACCTACCGACATTGAATTCCTACCAAAAAATTTTCATTCAAGGTTATCATCTATCGATAAAAGAACCCAGATTTTGGAACAGGCGAAAAAAGATTTGGAGTTAGATTTTAATAAGGAAGCTTTAACGGATTCAACTTATTTTTCGGGAAAGAGGCTATCGAAATTTGCCCTTTTGTGTTTGGTTTTGAATGAAGGACTGGATGAACCAAACCTTGGCGCTATTTGCGTTAATAAGCTTAAGGTTTGTGTTCTTTGTCCTGTGATTTGTTATTCCAACAATATTACCAATTTCAACTTTCCATTTATACTAGATAACAATGGACATTTACACTCAGAATCGGCAACAAGCGAAATTAGCTTATGATACTACATGGAAAGGCATTGTTTGTGTTAATGGATTCACGAAAGGTGCTGATGCCGATTTTGGCAACACTTGGTACAAGTAAATAATATTATTGATACCTTAACGCATTCAATATCGATATCAATATTCTGATGCATATTAATTAACCACGATTTATTCTCACCGTAAAAGTGATCATCATTACCATTATGGATATTTAATATACGCTGCAGCTATTTTACGCCATTTAGATGAAGATTGGGGAAAACGAAATGAAAATTGGGTTTATAATTTAATTCGTGATGTTGCAAATCCTTCCGCAGAAGATTCACATTTTCCGGTATTTCGAACCTTTGATTGGTTTAACGGGCATTCATGGGCAAAAGGTATTTTAACATTTTTCATTCCACTTGCTTCTCATCATCTAGTTTCAAACAGTTAAGCATTACGCAACAGGAATATTCTCGTCAATGGATGGAAAAGATGAAGAATCCACTTCAGAAGACGTAAACTTTTATTACGCAACGAAACTTTGGTCCATCGCTTCAAACCGACCAAGTCTTACTAAGCTCATGGATTTAATATTGGCTATTCTTTCAAGATCTTTAAGCAATTATTTTTTGATAGAAAATGATAATAAGAATCATCCAAAAAAGTTTATTAAGAACAAAGTGACAGGAACACTGTTTGAAAATAAAATCGATTACATCACATATTTTTGCTCTGATGTTGGTGAGTTACACTTAAAATGAACGAGATTATGATATTTGATGTTTCTTAACATGTATTTTCATTGTAGAATGTATCCATGGAATCCAAATGCTTCCGATAACACCTATAACAGCTTATACACGCAATAAAAATTTTGTAAATTTCTTTAAATAATTAAATTTATTCACACAATCATTTTCCGGCCTAAAATGAATAACTCGCCTCTCTTTCTCAAACAGGTAACACAAGAATGGAAACAAAAATTAGGCCCAATCATAAACTCCGTGAATAACACTTGGAAGTCGATCTTATACGCGAATTATGCAACAATAAATCCTGAGGCAGCATATCAATTCTTTTTAAATAATCGTGATACACCACTTGATGATGGGTTGAGTAGAACTTGGGCATTGTTCTGGAGTTCTATTGCCGGCTGTGATGACTCACTTTTGGATGATCTAGTTTAGCTAAAAATAGTGAATTTACCAAAGTTATGAGTACTTAGGGCATTTTATTGGCATGTAATCAATTTATATATGTTTTGTCATGCTATTTAAAATACCATTAGACAACTTTTTCAAAAAAAAAATACAAAGACACACTCTAAGTGTACAGGAAGTGACTCACGTTTATGTTTACACTAATGCTAATCAATATATTCGTTCCCGCTTTTAAAGATCATCTAAAACAATGGTTTTTATTAGCAGCTATGACAGATAATTGATTTTTTAGCAATGTCAGTTTTTCCGGCATCACAACTTTTTCAATAGAACGAATTTTTGCCATCGTTATGCTTGAAATAGGGAAGTCGGTTTGTTTGCCGAGATAATCTTTATAAAGGCACGTCTTTTATTATTAAGGTGTTATAGTATGTTACCAACCAAGATGTAAAAATATGAGAATTTGTTCGAGCAAAAGTGAAGGTTTGCTTATAATTGAGTCTAAATTTATTAGAACGTTGCTTCTAATCTGTCCCGTTCATACTCTCACGTCGACAAAAATGAATGCTTTGTTTTTAAAATCATTAATGATCCAGAACGTATACTTTGATTTTTAATTGGTATGTTTTGATGATGACAGTCGTTGAAATAAAATAACAAATGTGTTAATAAAGAACCAGAGACTATATTCAAAAAATATACTATATTAAATTATATTTATAGGTTTTATTCAAATAACAGACTGGTAGAAACAGTTAATAATATCCAGGTTTTAATTATAAAAATGTTATGATTGATGGTATATATTCGATTTGAATTTATTAAACATCTAAGACTTGGGTATATAATAATAAGTGTATTAATAGTTCAAAACTTTTTTCTTTTGATTAGTTTCCCTATTTTCGATAGGGCCTTATTTGCTGCAATATTTACTATATCTTTCGTATGTTCAAGAGGTAAAATGTTTTTTATTGTCAAATAACGTGTCTAAAATTAAAAAAATATATATATCGATACAAATCATTTCTTGTGAAGTAATTTAAGTTATATTTTATCCATAAAATACTGTAGTAATCCACCTCATCCTATTTCATGGTAATGGAATAATAATTTTTTTATATCATTATCAATCTTAAAATTTTTGCGTGTCCCTTTGCTCATGATGATTACGTTATTTTTGCAAGGTAATTTGATAAATTAGCAATCAATGGATTTTATATTATTTATCACTAAAAATTGTGATATACTAAATTACAATTTTGTCTGAGGGAAGGTATCTCGCGATATGTGATATATGCTAGGTTTATCTCGCACGAGGCCCGTTGACACACCTGAAGTAACATTTTTGTTTCTCCTCAAGATCTAAAGACTTATGCGCGATAATTAACAATTATCACGTACAGATTTCTTTGTTAACAGATATATTAATAGATCTATTAATTAACCGATTTTGGTTTGTAACATTAACAGATATAAGGCCTTTAAAATTGGAGATCTGATTAATCACCTGATTAAAAGCTGTATCACTACAGACAGCGCTAAATTCGACGATCACCGATCTTTCAAGCACTTTATTCAAATTATTAATGATAAAAGCTAAGTGGGCAAAGACACCTTGTTTTTACGTTATTAAAGCCTCAAAGAAATCGATTGGAATGACCGGGGCCACTACTGAATTTGAGGTAACTAATAAAAAAATGCATTATATATATCCCATTCTAATTTACCGAAACAAAATTTTTTTGCTTATTTTTTTACAATTTAACATAGGACGAGGTCAAAAAGCTTAATGATTACATTAGAATCCCAGGTTACAGGCGCTCATTACCCTCTAGAAGGTGGGACCCAGTGTTGGCAATTACAGGATTTCATCATTATTACGATGCCAAAAGATTTCAAATTCACGTTGATAATGCGTTCAGAGTGGATAACATTTCTAAAGATTTTTATAAGGTTAAGCATCTTAAAGAAAATTTATTAATACGACCTTGCATACTAAAAAGAATTATTTGTGCAAGAAATGTATTTAGAAGACTGTTCACTGAAAACTTTCCAAAAGAAAATCCAAAAGTTTTGAAATTATGGAAGTTACATTGGTCAAAAGAATTAGATCAAGATATGATTAAAGAGTTGGCTTTTGGTTGGGACATTGAAGATTTTAAAAATGATGTAGTACAAAATGGTTACAAAATAGATAGACCTAAGAAGACTTATTTCATTGAACATGTTAAGTTAGAGTTTGATGATTTTTTGCCTTGGAAGGAAATTTTAAATGAATGGAGGATATTGAAAGAAGAAAGAAAAACTTTGGGATTAGAGGACAGGAATAAAGATCAACAGAGTAAAAAAATCGAACAAAAAATTGTAAATCAAGAACAAGAACAAGAACATTGGTTTAAGGTTGTTGATGATTATGAGGATGATTAGCATACCCTAAAATTATAGATGAAAAGTAAGACCCTGCTATGCTATTAATAATAATTTAGATATTTTCTAAAATATGTTTAATAAAAATATTACATTGGCAATATTGGTTATTACGAATCAGAATAAGCAGAATATTGTAAAATTTTATTATTGTCGTAAACATCATCGGGAATATTAATAGCTAATCTATAATAATTCGCTTTTGTATCACTACTATGTCTCTCTAATTTCCAATCTAAATCATCTCCAAATTTAAGTTTCAACCGTTTTCCAATTTCTATGCCAAACCTATCCAAAAGTTCATACCCAACACAAGGTGCAAATGGTCTGAGATATCTAACAAATGGTGCGACCTTTTCATGCTCATTCCAGTAAAGCTCCTGATTCTCTCGTACTATTTCATGAAATGTAAATGGTATAATGGTCTCAAAAAATTGCATTGCTTCAAAAATACACTTCTGAAATGATTGAATGAATTCATCAAGTTTTGAGGCGGCTGCCTTTTGAGCTTGTTGAGATAATAATGGAGGTTCAGGCTGAGATAATGGTAATGGGATTGGAAGTTGAAAATAATCGATTTCTGAAAATAATTCTTCACGAGAAACTGTAATATTATAGGTTGTTGGCGTAATGTCAATGGACGAAGAACTAGTCAAATGAATATTGTGCCAATGAATTTTTCCTGTGCGATAAAACTGTAGAATATGTCGGAATAATTGTCCATCTCTATCAATAAAATGTTCTCCATTAACTGGACTCAACAACTCTTTGTTTCTATCAGCAAACATTGTTCCAAGAAGTGTTGTCGGATAAGCGATCAGGGTAGAACGATAAGTTTCATACTAGTTTATTTTTTTTTAAAAAAATAAATTAATTAAAATTGATTTTAAACGTACGATCAAGTAACAGATAATTTAATTTACCTTTACACCACCAACGTTCAATATAATTCTTTCTCGAGATGCTTCGGAGTCTGTTGTAACCGACATCCTTGAATAAGAATGAATGTCGATGTCAGACACAGACTTATATGTTTGTATTTATATCACGTGATTTAACATATTAGTTTGTTAAACGCCACAAACAAAAATTTTCCCCCTAACATGACTTAATCATAACGATAACCCTTAAGTTTTTTACACCTAATTGGATAAAAATCACAAGGGGGGGGGTTTAAAAAAACGATGCGCCGCTCTTTTCTAATTCGTTAATTATTTGAATAATATCTACAGTAATCTCGAGACACGTATGCGTATTCTTTCCGTTTTAAAAATATTGTGGAGATAAAAAAATGTCAATTTAAATTACTTTATTATTTTATTATGTGTATTAAAATAAAGTATAATAATTAAAATATCGTCATAAAAATAAATTTAAGTACCGTATTACGTACAGTAGCCAACAAAAGTAACGCCCGATTTGCAGATCGTCACACGTGAGCAAATAAAAGGGCTGTGCGTACCCTATTCTAACGAATTTTGGGGCAAATTTTTTTTATTTTTTGCTTCTTTGACGTCAAAGGAACCAAGCACACACCAAAGATTGTTTTTTTTTTAATAAAAATGCCACGCAAACAAATGACAGAAAAAGAGAAAGGAATGATCCTTGCTCATATCAGTACAATGAGTGTTGAACAAGTTGCCTACAAGATTAAGTGTGACCCAACAACAGTCTGAAGGTTTTTATAAAAGTACAAGAGAACCAAAAAAATCAAGAACTTACCTCAGTCTGGATGTCCTCCTGTCTTGAAGAAGCAAGAAAATATCATCATAGTAAAAAAAACATTGAAGGAAAGATGTGGTCACTGCTCAAAATTGTAAAGGATTTAAACCTTCAATGCAGTGTGCAGACTGTAGCTAGGACCTTACACAATGTTGGACTTTGTTCTCGTGTTGTTGCTTTGAAACCTTTTTTGTCTAGTAGCAATATAGAAGGACATATGGAATAGTGTAATCAGAATAAAAATAAGGATACTTACTATTGGAGATGTATCATTTTTTTAGATAAAATGAATATAGAAGTAGGTAAACAATCCTGCCAAGTTCGTGTATGGCATTACGTGGATGAGAGATATAAACATGAGTGTCTGTAACCAAATTTTAGAAGTAGAAGGGTCTCGGTTATGGTTTGGTCATGTTTTATTGATAATATCAAAGGTCCAATAGTATTTTTTGATGATTACAAAGGTTCCAAGCAAAAAATTAATAAAAACATTTATACCAAGGTTTTAAACGACCATCTCATACTGTTTTTAGCTGCAGTCCATTTGTTAAACATCCCCCATCTGATTTTTCAGCATAACAATGCTCCAATTCATAAGGTGTCAAATTGGCTAAATTCAAAAAACATTGATTATATGAATTGGCCCTCATGATCCCCTGACCTTAACCCTATAGAAAATATTTGAAAGATCATGAAGGACAATATTCAGAACTGAGATGACTTCCCAAGAAATAAATCTGACCTTAAAACAGCCTTACAAGAAGTATAGTCAAATTTGGATATGTCGGTTCTTTGTGTCGTTGTAGACTCAATGATACGAAAAATCAATGCTATCACAAGTGTAGGAGGTTACTCAGTGAAATATTAAATAAATATAAAAAAAAAATTGAGGTATTTGTGGCAAAAATTAAATAAATAAAAATTTTATTTTTTGATCAAAAATCGGGCATTACTTTTGTTGGCTACTGTACCTGATGATACTAGGTGGGTCGAACCAGAGGTTTGATCCATTGAATAATTATCTGAATATTCAATGAATTAAATATCAGTAAATATATAGTGATATTCGGTGATACAAAGTAATAAATTAAATTTTATAAATTAAAAAATAATAATGCAACTTTAATCATTTGAGTACTATAATTAACGAAACAAGTAAACAAATTAAAAAGTAATCAAAGTTTGCACAAACGTTATTCTCAATGTAATTAACTAATAAACATGACGATACTCATTTACTATAATCAATCAAAATAAGAATTGTAATTGATATTTGAATGA